GATCTAGACCTAGGGCCTAGGCCTACACTATGCTTTTAAACAAAGTCTCATGAGGCTTGGAAAGTGGCATTGTCTTTGTTTTTTAATAATTGAATGTTCTTTGTTTTCTATCCTGTAACAACAACATGTAATAAAAATTATTTAACTTTGTTATTATGATTACTCACTTTATACTTTCGGATATGCTTTCTTCTACCTTGTCACTGTCATCATGCTTGTCTGTAATTACTCCTCTAAAATTAAACATATAACAATATACTGTAGAAAATTGTTTAAAATTGAAAAAAAGAAAAATGCATAGGCCTAGGCTTAAATAGATTAGTTGCTTTCTAATAATCCTTGAACATTATTATTATTATTATTATTATATTATTACAAATACAATACAAAGTGATTCGATATTCGAATGTGGCTGCGTACAGAAAACTTATCTGTACGCGTTTCTATGGAATAAGAAGTTTTCTATCGCTCTGAAATCATTCTTAGTTTTTAATTCTAATATTTAAAGCCATAACACAATTTTGTATGTACATATGATCATCCTCGACTGTATGAACAGTCCTCAATAAGTATTTATGAAGTGAAAATAAATAACACAACAATTATATGTTATTGCCTAAAATATATATTATATTGAAATACTTACCCATCTTTAAGAAATGAGAAAATTTCCTTAGCAGTAATTGCCATTTTGTCTTGGTTGACAGCAATACAGTATTGATAATTTTACACAGAAAACTATTAAAACTAACTGGAATTGTGATTGCTAGACTATAATAAAATGACTATAACGGATGAACAACAAAGCTGAAATGAGGCAATAATTACAGAGTACTAAATATTAATTAAAATAAAGTTTATCTAACTATAACTGCAGTTATTTAATTGTGTAAATACTTTTTTCTTAATCCTCCCATCTGATAAACATCAAAACAAGCAATCAACTTCATATATAGGATACAATTAAGTGATTATGTAATAGGTGTTAAATGTGGTTGAGTGAGTTCTATCAATCATGACATTTGCAGTTGAGTTAGTCTTACATGACAATACTAGACTATACCTGCAATTGAGTGATATTTTTGATATTAAATTTCATATTTCCAGTTACAATTTTAAAATTCTGAAAACATCACAAGGTGTATTGATGTATTAAGAACCCAAAAAGGCAAAAAAGTGAATTTTGAAAAAAATGTCAGTTGAGTGGTTTTATCATGACAGGGCAGCATAAATGACTGGATCTTTCAAGATGGATGACCTAGCTCTGGAAAGGCATTTTCCTCCATTAGTCGCTGTGCTTCTAGCTGCACCCTTTCTTCTTCCTGGACCTTTTGCTGGTGTAGATGTTGTTTTAAGCGTGCCAGGTTTTGGACTGCTTCTTTTTCACGTCGTCTCTTCTCGCGACGTTTTCTGGTCACTTCTTTTCTCTCTTTATCAGTCATTTTGGATGTTCTTAATCTCTGAGGGGCAGCATCCTTTGCTTTATTTCCCACATGACGCTACAAAACCTTCCGACTCTACCGAAGGATTCCACTCACCGCATCGAATATTTGTTGTTTCGCGGGCTATCAGGTTACCAAAGCAGGCGATCAGTGATTGACCCCCAACCTTAGAAACGACTTTCGAAATGTTCCATTTTGTCTTAGAGGTAAATCCGCTTCGGAGATGTGAATTTGTTTCACGATGCTACACTTTATACATTGGACGCGATGCCGATTCTGTAATATACTTTTACCTAAAACAATGGGATTGTTACAATGAGTTTACTACGAATAATGGAACATAATTTGCGGGTATAAGTAATAAGGACAGTCGTACATGAATGGGGAATCACGATGCTGTTAACTTTATTATGGACACCATACGTAGCATCGTGAGGGCTATGTTTGCCGTCTTGTTGTGTGCGTACGATCGATTATGAAAGACTTTTTTGTTCAACAGTATATTACTACATCTGTCTAGTGTTAGTTAGGTCGTATTTTAAGCAGTTTTTTTTAAGTCTTTTTTTTTTTATTGGTATGTTTAGCATTTCACATTTTTTAGTGAAAATTGATTCTGGAAATCAACATGTTTTTCCCTCCTACCCCCAAGGGAAGGTGAAAGGTTATATTTTTTTTTTTCCTGAGCTTGACTTCAACTTACTATTATCCATGAATGAAGCAATTATTGATATGTAATGAGAGGTAATTATTAAAAAACAGGATGAAACATTGTGAACACCAATTCTGTATAATGTGCCCCAACTTCATGGAGTGAGCCATATATTGTTTTGCAGCATCTCTGGCTGTATAATGTGCCCCAACTTTATGGAGTGAGCCATATATTGTTTTGCTGCATCCCAGGTTATCTGATCCACCGATCGGGCATATGCCTTCCTTCACACTAAACATTGCACCTCGGGCAGTCCATATTTGTTGTCAACACATATGAATAAGTTTCAGCTAAATTCAAGCAGAAAATACGCTCCACAGACATAGCGCGGCTGAGCGAGCAACAGACACGCGCCACTGCTCGGACTCTTCAATTTTAAAAATGTGCAGATTATAACATTTAATACCGAACATGACGTTAACTACAAAGTTTAATGTAGTTGATTAAAAAAATGTTTGAAGATAAATTTTTTTAATCAACTACATTAAATTTGTTTTATGATTTACTGCATGAGTTATCTTAATGATTGTCAATATTCATAGGACATGTGAGCCTGTTATGTCTATCCTGCTTTTGAGAAACGCTACATGCAACTTTCCATTTAGGTTTTCTTGTGCACTTGTCTTCTAGCATGTGTATTCTATGTTGGATTTGCATGATTTGTTTTAATGAACCTTTACCAAAATTAGTTTGACGAAAATACCATTTAGTTACCGAATCGTTTTATCACAATGTTGGAGGTAAAATGTTATTTGGTAAACAAGTTGATCCATAATTGTCTAGAACAGATGAAGCGTATCTGGAATCCGGTTTGAATCCTAAATTGCTGTAAGAATGAAAAACATCTTTGACGAATTTAATTTTGTTATGCCTTTGCCGGCGTTTTTGGCTTTTACTATATTCGTTTTTCCCTTTAGTTTTGCCCCTTTCACCCCTTTTCCTCTTTTTCAGATGTGACAGCCTTTCTAAGTTTCTCTTTAGTTCTGTATTTTCCTCTTCTTCTTTTACATATGAACTATTTAGTTCCTTTAGTTTATCCTCTACCTTCCTATGCTTTACCCTTTAACTGAGGTAAAAATTCCAGTTAGACCAGTTGGAACTGGAACCAGTTTCGTGTTGTGTTTTTGGACAATTCAACTGGTCCCAGTTCCAACTGGTCCCAATTCCAACTGGTTTTAAATTCCAGTTCGACCAGTTGAAACTGGAACTAGTTGCGGGTTGTCTTTTTGGACAATTCAACTGGTCCCAGTTCCAACTGGTCCCAAATTCCAGTTGGACCAGTTGGAACTGGAACCAGTTGGGTGTTGTGTTTTTGAACAATTCCAACTGGTCCTCAATTGATCCAAGTTCCAACTGGTCTTCAAGTGGTGCCAGATAAAATAACAATGGCTTTAATCAACTCCTGTAGACTTACAAAAAACAAACACTGAGTTTAAGATATACAAACCATAATTTCTTTAATTAAAAACTGTCTTCTGCTACACATACTGTACTGTACCTCAAATTCAAGCTTATTCTAAAGTCCTTCGCTTTACAGTCCTGTATAAATCAGCATTTTTGTCCGTAATTTAGGCCTATTATATTAAAGCATCACTAGAGTTTATTACTGTTTATAAAACAATAATCACAAGAACCTTGTGTGTTAGCATGCATTAACCAGCATTCTTTGTATATTGAAGCAGCTGTCCACAATGATGCTTTTTCATGTCTGATGGTAGCAAGCTAAATTGAAATTCTTTCTAAAAGATCAGATAGTATGAATTCTGCAGTTGAACAAATCAAGCTTGAAATATTGAATCACTTTGGCTTGTACTAACTTTTTTCGGAGTCTTACACTTGCTGAAAGATATAACAATAACAAAATCTGATATAAGGATAATAATTGGCTAACTTTTATATAGAGCACATATTATGGAAACCTTTATGCGCCTTTAAACATGAAAAAAGCATGCCAAGAATGTAAAACAGAGCGTATGCATTTCATTGTGCTGGGCATTTCAAAAACCCTTTTTATTTTTAAAACCCACATATTGTTTTGCTTACGTCTTACTGTTAAACATGCTGTACCTCAAATTCAGGGTTACTGTACAGTCCTGTTTAAATAAGCATTTTTCTGTAATGTAGTCCTATCATGTATTAAAGCATCACAAGAGTTTATTAAATAAATCAATATTTAAAAACCATTTGTGTTACAGGTGTGCATGAACCAGCATTCTTTGTGATATTGCAGCAGCAACTGTCCATAACCATTCCTTTTCTTGTCCGATGGTGCCAAGCTAAATTAGTATGAATTATGCCGTTGAACAAATCTAGTCTGAAATATTGAATCACAGTGACTTGTACTAACATTTTTTAGAGTTTCAAAGAGATTCATGCG